TGATCATAAATATCCCATAATTTGGTTGCTTATTCTCAAGGTATATCAAGGTTCATGTGTTTATTTTCATGCCTTGTTCATTAGGTTTCCTCAAGCTTTGACCATACTCTATTAAATTTCAATCAAGAATCCATCATGTGGAGTTCATATGTGAATCAAAAAGCCTTGAAATGTAAGAAAAAATCAATGGTTGCAAGTTTGTTTGAAGTACTTTGACCTAAAAAGTCAACATTTCAAGTCCAAGTTCAAAAGATCACAACTCACTCAAATGTTCAAATCAATACTTTCTTTTCACATTGTACTCTTTGCTATGATGTGATCATTTAGAAAAAAGAATGAGGATTAAAGGTTAAGTGTACACAATTTCACATTGGTTTGAAGTTTCCTCTATGGAACTATATTTTGCTCAAAAGTCAGTTTGGAAATCACCAAATTACTCAATTTTAAGCCAAGCATTGCACATTTTTAGGACCTGAGGATGTTTAGTGACGTGTGAGAATTAAAAATGACCCATAATTGTGAAGAATGCATTGCATTTTGTCTGACTTCACTCGCAAGAATAATCACACTTTGCTTGCTCATGATTTCACATGATTTCAATCTAATTCCACATGTATTGCATCCTCTCACCTCAGCTATAAATAGGGGACGCTATTGCTCTCTTTTACAAGCTTTGAAAGCCCCTCAAACCCTGCTCCAACTCAGATTTTTCTCCAAAAAGTGTGAGATCTTGTTTTCATTCTAAGCCTTTTTAGAGCTATTTCTTGATTCCTCTAACTTCCTTGCCATCTTGAGAGCCAAAGTTTGAGAGCCTTTGAATCGTGCTAACCAAGTCTAGCTTTCTTCATTCTTGACCTCACTTGGACAAGGTAGTTTAGAGACACCATTTTTTCTCAAATAAATTGTCATGATGTTGTTTGATGTTCATTGATGCTCATTCTTACTTTAGATTTCATTTATCTTTTGTTTTCACCATTTAATTTTTATTTTTCGTTTTTGAAATTATCACGTATTTCTGTAAAATTCTCTTCACACAGTTAGAATAAATGAAAATGGAGCCTATGGTTGAATTCACACTGATGAAACAGCCACAATGGTGGTGGTCTCGTTCCCTAACGTTACCAAACATCCAAACTACCGTGAAAATCCACTGGAGAAGATGATTGGAGGTGTTTGATAGTGGTCTGAGTTTGTTTTAATGTTTCAACTAATCACAACACGACACTTGTTTTGATCTATTTAATTAATTCAAATTAGATCCAACATGTTATTCTACTTAAGGTCCACGATGTGCTGCATAACCTGATCCCTTGGATCTGCTGACTAGACTTAAGTGGACTTGGTCCAACACCCCTCATTATTTCTGGTTTATTTTCTTTTTCTAAATTTTGTTTTAAATTGTTTTTACTTTCTAAAATTTATTTTAGTACAATTTTAACTCCAAAAATCACCAAAAAATTCATAAAAATATTTATTCTCATTTTACATTTTGTGTAACTTTTTGGGAATTTTATTTTGTGTTTTAATATTTCCTTTGATTTTTCTCTTATTTCTCTTGGTTTAATTGGTTTAAAAATAGTTTTGTCTTTTGAAAAATTTCTCAAAAATTTCTAAAAATATTTTAAATCATCTCTGATTTTTATATTATTTTTTATCCCATTTATTTGATGTTTAGACATTAATTTTCTATTTCCCCTTTTATTTTCTATTTAAAATAAATTTAAAAATAATTTTCTTTGCATTTTAATTATTTACTATTGCATTTAATACTTTGTTGACTTTTGGTGCCTTGGATCATGACTTTTTGCTTAAAAGTCTCATCAATATCAATGTACTTTGAGTGCTGGTGAGGTTTGTATGAACCTTAATTTGTTCAAATCTACCATTAAATGATTTATTGAATCATTTTTTGGTACTTTGGATTGATGATAGGTTTATCACCTTAATCCACCAAGAGAGGTGATTGATCTTGATGATGAGTTAAATCAATGTTGTGATTCAATTTGGTTTCTCTTTTCATCTCATTCTTCTACTTTTTTTCTTCTCTTTTGATCAGTTGGGTGATTTAGGATTCATCTTGTTCATGAAGTTTGGATTGGTATTTGATGAACTTTCATCATTTCAAATCTACCTTCCAATTGATCATTGATCATTGATCATTTGAGGTACTTTGGATTGGTTATAAGTTTGTTCTAAGTTATCATGAAGAATGATTATTGTAATGGACCAATCTCCTAGACTTTGCTCTTGATCACCTTGATTTTAAACTATGGTGTGCATTTTATACAATACACGTACATTATTTTGGCCCGATCTCAGATAGGTGCAATTTCTACATAAGCTCACTTATAATTGCTTAACATAGCACCAAATTTATCCCGAATCCGAATACTAATTATTAACATTAATATTCTTAATGCTATCTTTATGATTCTGCACTTTTATTTTAATTTCATTTAAATTCTCGTCTTTATATTAATGCACTTTAATTTCAGTCACTTACATTTTAGCATTTACAATTCATTTTTACTTTATGCCATTTATTTTTATTGCCTTTTACTTTTGCCCATTGGCCATTTTATTTTGCTTTTTATTAAAAGACATTAATAAAAGTTAAAATTATAATAAAAAACTTGGTTATGATCACTTAGACTATTGGTTACTATCCCTAACTTGAGGACTTGGACTTTTGGACTTAAGTTAGACCTTTGGCTTGGACTTTCATATGATACCTTAAGTTTCCTCTGGACCACTTATCTGAGACTTTGGGTTATTTCTATGAGATCTTTGGATTTGTCTGTTTGTTTTTCATCTAATGCAGGAATTATAAATCTGATACCTTGGATCTTGTCTGTTGCTTTTATTAATTAATCTGCTTGTGTGAACATTTATCTGCTGGTTGTGGCTTAATCTAAAGAAAGAGAGTGTTTTGCTTGACTTATGTCAAAGGGCTTGCTTCATTTTGGTTAGTTCGCACACACGCGCACACAAAAGCTTTCTCTTAGGCTACCTTACAATGAGACATTTAATTTCTTGCATTTACTTTATGCTTTAGGATAGTCTCTTTATCTCATACCCTTCTTTAATTTTCAAAATCTTCTCCCTATTTCAAAATCTTCTTGTTTTCAAATATAAAACCTTTTTCTTAATAAACCTTGATTTTGTCAAATGATTTTCAAAACTTATTTTCTTAATAAATATTAAGACACCTTAAGCATATCAAAAATCATTTTAACAGACTATAAAAGATACAAAACTCATCCATACTGTTGTGCCCTTTGTGCACTTTTTCTTTTAAATTTTTTTCTCAAAGATTAAATATTAGTATTGTTTTAGAAGTGATTGCAAACCACCCTACTACAAACATGACAAAGTGATGGACATTTTCCACTGATATATTGAGATATGCCTTGTTGATTTAATCTAAGCTATAAATTCTCCAGATTCAAGATGATGCAAATACCCATCCTCCCATGGTTGTTGATAGTATGTTGTGTTTTTCACTTAGATAAGACAACATATTTTTTCATTAAAATCAACCAAACAATTAAATTTTGTTCCTTTTTAGACGAAATATGAGGTTTTGATTCTTCATTGCACTTGGAGGATACGTAGGCACATGACTCTTGAAGTCTTGCCAAACACAAAAATCATAAAAACAACTTCTTTTGCTATCTCCCCGATAATTTTGCAAAACATCTTTTTATAACACAAAATTTTCAAAGATGTTCCTGCGAAGTACCGTAGATGTTTTTGGTGCTAATACATTCCCTTTGCATAACAAATCCCTGTATCTAGATCTCTCTTTTTATTAGTTTTGTTTTAAATTTTTTTGTGGGATTTAACGATATTTTCCCATTCCTTTGGAAACAATAAAGTTCGGTGGCGACTCTTGCTTTTTTCCAAGTTAAGTTAATCAATAGCATAATCTCAAAAATCTCGTCGCGACAGAGTGAAATGAACAACTTACCTTGTTCCGTCCTAAAATTTCCTAACAATAGAATGATATCTTCGTTTCGCTTCGTTCCATTATGCTCAATCCCATTCCACTCCACTCCATCCCACTCAATTTATTTCATGATATCCAAACATAACCTAAAAATCAACATATTAGGTTTTGAGCAAACATATAAATGTGATTTGACGTGAGATTTTAATATTTCTTTGAATATTACGTGTATAAACCTTTTAACTTATATCAAATTTGTTATCACATTTTATGTCACACATGAAACTCTTGCTTAGATATAATATACCAATAACCCTTTTTTAAGTGTAAGAGAGTGAGTCCATTCATTTATGGGTATAAACTGCATTGTTGTCTCTCTTCTTTCTTCAACCCTAATTTTTTTTTGCTCTTGATCTACTAAAGATGAGTGGTTTTAGGGTCAACTTTGATCTAAAATCATCCCTCTGAATTCTTTTTTTTTTTCCTTTTCATTCAAATAAGTGCTTTTACATATATTTTTAGTTTTTTCTTTTTGATTTCGTCATCTTAGTGCGACATTGTATTGATGGTCGTCTCATTGCGATGTTATTTTATTTTCCCATCTTGGTGCAGTGTTTGTTTGATTCAGATTGACAGATTAGTTTCGACTCAGTGCATATTCAATCAATGATTTTGACATCATCAACGCTGTAGATTCGAAGACATGGATATTTCGAGCATTTCAATTTCGTCATATTTATAGGCTTTGTCATATTTATAGGCATTTTACTGTTATATACTATTAACGTGGGTGCTGAGAATTTGTTCGCAGATTCATTATTTTCTATTTATAACGATTTTAAATTTATATTATTCGATGTATTCTATCAATTTGAATGAATGAATATCATTTTTAATTAAAAAAAATTTAATACAAAAAATCGCTAAAAGTAACTCTATCAGATTGAATTTTAAACAACCATACAACATCTTAATCAAAAATATTTCCATTTAAATGTTATTTAACACTCATTTTTCCATCCAAATTACATACAGTACGTATACTGTATTAATGTTTGCCATTGATGAAACTGATTGGTTGGTACACATTAAAGTTGTCTCTATTTCAGGATTCATTGATACCAATAATCATGATCATTATGGCAAGCCAGAATGCAATGATATTAGGTAAATTAGCTTCATGATCACCACCCTTCCAATTTCAACATACAATAAATAAATTTCATTCATTTTTAATATGCTCCTTCTATACATTACATATGCTACTAGTACACACAATATTCAAATTCAAGTTGAGTGAGTAAATGCATTCATTTTATTCAAACAACATTAAAAAAAAATTCCATCTTGTACCTTTTTTAATATTTGCTTCTTTTCTTTGGTACACATTCATATTTCATAGCATCAACGAATTAAAATTAATTCGAAAAATCACTTTCATATAGTACAAATTCCATGTTTTTATTTTGCAATAATTAATATGAAATTATTACCACTCCATTAATTCAATAATAATTCTGACAATATCACATGGGAATATATGAAACCAAAAATTAAACATTAAAAATTAAAAGAAATAGCATCGGATACTATTTGTAATTTAATTAAAAATGATATAATACGAAGCCAAATCTGAGATGGTAAATTTTTTAATGGATGAGAATAAAGTTGTTATTACTATTTTCTAATTAAAATAATTCGATTTCCGTGTACCCCATCCTATGGTTTTTATTTTTAATATTATATTATTGAAAATGAAACGAAACGGTTCAAATTTTATTTTATTATTTTCTTATATCAGTGGGACCCTCTATACAAAATTATCAGTGCCGGTGCTAAAAGCAGAAAACAGAAGAAAAAAGATTAACATTTCTGCATCTTAATTTTCTTCTTCTTCTTCTTCAAAGCTTCATTCACCATTTCCATGGTGGCTTAGAATTAGGGTTTCTCGTTCTTTTCACGCGCCTCTTTCAGTTCTTCATCTCGATTTATTCTTCTGTTCTGTGGATTTCGTACGCTATTTCAATGTGCTACTGGTGTTTCCAATTTTGCTTACTTGCAGGTTTGGTTTTGGATCGCACTCTGAATTTTTTTAGTTGTGTTGATTTGTTTGATGAAAAGTGTTTGTTGTTATTGTTAGCTCATATTTGCACTTTACTTTTTCTGAATCTGTGAAGTAATAGTAGTAATAATTCATTTTCAGGCTTTTTCTTTTCTTCTTGTTGTTTTGGAACTTTACTTTTTGAGGAAGAAGCTTCTATTTCTGTTTGATTTTAGTTTACATGGTGGAAGATACTGCTGATGAATCTTCATTGTTGTTGTACTTTGTGATTTGTGTGATTTTTGGGGGAGAATGTGTATATGGATCTGTAAATAAATTTGCATTACTTGATAAGTTGATATAATTTTTAACTGGAAAATGTTGCTGTGAATATGAACTGGAGTTTTCTTACCAGTTTGGTATTTGATCTGATTTTGGTGACTTATCTCTGATTGGGGAAAACCAGAAATGGGATTTACTGATTTTGGAGTTTCTATTTCAGTTTTGATGATGTCTTTTTTCTGTTCCTTGTTTTAAAATTTAATAAAGCTTAATTTACAGTTTTTATTTTACCTCTTGGTTTGCTGAAGCATTCAATTGTTTTGACCATTACCGGGTTTTATGTCACATAGATGGTGAAAAAAGGGATGAAGTGTTCATTCTTCAGATTTGATTTCGCCTGAAGACGGGTTTGAATACAGCAAGTTGGATTGCGGGTTTATCGTTGTTCCGTTGTGAGTTTATGGTGTCTGAAATATTACATGTGAAATGAATCAGACTAGAGTTTTGGTTTGAGAATCTAATTGTGTCTGTTATTTATTTCTATCGTTCGGAATTTAGTGGAGCAATTTATCTCTAATGGGTTCATTTTCGGGGACTTGCGAAATTGTTGAAGCGAGGGAAGAACTAAAGACAGTGAAAGATTCGGGGAGATATCTGTCCAGTTCTGGATATGGTATGGCTGAGAAAAATCAGAAGCTTCCTGCGCTGAAACTGGGATACAAGTATAATCTAGACGATGATATTAACAAGCTGTTTGAATCAATTGCTCTCAAATCTTCATCAAGAGATTTGAGCTATCTACCAGATGGAACAAGTCCTAGGATGAAAAGTGCGTTAAAAAAGCCAATGATTGTGGGCATACCTCGATCCCCGCGAGTTGGGACTTCTGAGCCAGTCACTTTGAAGCAGGCATTAAGAGACCTATGTATATCTAAGGCATCGGAAATGGCTGCTACTAAGAGGTTATCAAAGTCAGGAGCTTCTCCAAGAATATCAGAGGTTGGGAAGATACAGACATTGTACAATTCGGTCGTCGCTGATGATGCTAGGAGATCCGGGCCTTCTAATGTTGACAGTAAACGGAGTTCAAATGAAATATCTCTGGTGCTAGAAGAACGCAAGTCACGTGCCCTGAATAAAGAATCTCAATCTCATCAAACTTCCAAAAGCACATCATTGAGCCAAAATGCTCATTCTTTCAAAATCACAGTTGCAACTACACAAAATGAAAGTGATTTGGAATGTTCATCAAGTAAAGTTAAGGATTCACTCCAATCATCAGTACCTTCTCAAATTGAAAATCAAACATCCGCCTCTTCTTCTATATCTTGTTGCAACACCAATGGAAGTAAAGTAGAGTTGCGTGAAAAAGATTCCTCCCCTAAGAAATTGGGAAATAAAGCATCTATGTCAAAGAATGTGCGGAAAGGTACATTACAAACTACATCTTCCTTGTCTACTTCAGTAAATGGTAGTAGAGCTTGTAAACTTTCGCGTAGCCCCCGAACAGTGAAATTGGCCATCAAAAACAAGGATTCAGGTAAGAAGAAACTAAAACAGGGTTCAGATTCTGCTTTATCTGCTCCTCCATGCAATGAAACAAATAGTAAGTCAGTTCCTGCTAGTACAACGCCACTTGTTTGCGAGAGATGTTGGTGTGAAATAGAAAATACAAATATAGAAAACAGCAAAGATATTGTAACATCGGGCTCTCTCAGCCCTGCAGATGGAATAAACTTGAAGAGTGTGCTCTCTGGGCCAGCTTCAACTGGTTGTAATAGCAGCCGAGAATTTGCAAAAATGAAAAAGAATAGCAGATTGAAAGAGCAGCTTGAATTTTCTCAGAGTTCAAAGAGCAGCCAAGGTGACTACAGTAGTAGTACAAGTACCAGCGACGAGAGTAACGTTAGTGGTTCTAGTTGCGGCAATAGACCTCACATGTCAAAGGATTTTAGATGGCAGGCCATACGGGATGCTCAAGTTCAGCACAGAGTCTTGGGCTTGAGACACTTCAATCTTTTGAAAAAACTTGGTTGTGGAGACATTGGTACTGTATATCTTTCAGAACTAATTGGCCAAAATTGTTTGTTTGCTATAAAAGTAATGGACAATGAATTTTTGGCAAGAAGGAAGAAGATGCCTAGGGCTCAAACTGAAAGGGAAATTTTGCGAATGCTGGATCATCCTTTTCTTCCAACACTCTATGCGCAGTTTACATCAGAAAATCTGTCATGTCTGGTCATGGAGTACTGTCCTGGAGGAGATCTTCATGTTCTACGTCAGAAACAACTTGGTAGATGTTTTTCAGAGCCAGCAGCAAGGTACAAAATTAAGAACTTCTGTTCTGTAAAATGTTAGTTAGGATTTTGTTTTCCTTTTGGTCTTAAGTTATATCATCTGTTTAATTCATTTAGTTGCTGATATATACTTGTGCTCATTCTCATCAATCATAATTTGTCATGTATTTCTGGTTTAGCCTGCTGCCGGTACACTTGATAAGGTTTTGAATGTTGATATGTTTATAGGTGGAACATGTTGCATTGCTGCACTATATAAAATATGATTCTGAAATATTACACATACATGTATGTGCCTGCTTGCGCACTGTTGCAGAATGCACATTGTCTAGGTTGAAAATGTATTTTCTCCTCCCCCTCAACCAAACACGGTTTAATTTTGATTATAGGTCCGTTGTGAAGTATCCACTCACTCTTTCTGGATAGATATTTCTCTTTCATATAAATGATGAACTCTTGCCTCTACGGGCGAGATACACTAGAGTGAGCTAAATATTTTAATGTTTTGAGTTAGGTTTATTTCTCAAACTAAAGGTTTGAACTATAATCTTTCCTGTCAATAAAACTTTCCTAATTATGATATTAGTCTTGATTAATATTAGCTTCCCTTATACTTGCATGCAATTTTTCAACGAATACATCATGTCACCTGCACTCTGTTTAGTAGTTATCAAGTTGCAAATTGCTTTGATAGTAAACGTGATTAAATTATGTGTAGTTTTTTCACCAGAGAATCTTATTCATGCAGGTTTTACGTAGCTGAAGTCCTTCTTGCTTTGGAGTACTTACACATGCTTGGAGTTGTTTACCGTGATTTGAAACCAGAAAACATTCTTGTTCGAGAAGATGGTCACATTATGCTCACCGATTTTGACCTTTCACTCAGGTGCGATGTTAGCCCAACGCTTCTGAAATCGTCTTCTGATAAAGACCCTGCCAAGGTTTCTGGCCCATATGCAAAGTCAAATTGCATTGAACCATTCTGCATTGAACCATCTTGTCAAGTTTCATGCTTCAGTCCTAGATTCTTACCACCTGCGGCAAAAGCAAGGAAGCTAAAAGCCGATCTTGCTGCTCATATCAAATCATTGCCACAGCTCGTGGCAGAGCCCACGGATGCTAGATCAAATTCATTTGTTGGTACTCATGAATACCTAGCACCCGAGATCATCAAAGGAGAAGGACACGGAGCTGCAGTTGATTGGTGGACATTCGGTGTTTTTCTTTATGAGCTTTTATACGGTAGAACACCCTTCAAAGGTTCCAATAACGAAGAAACCTTAGCCAATGTCGTCTTGCAAAATCTCAGATTCCCTGATAGCCCTTTTGTTAGTTTCCAAGCAAGGGATCTTATCAAAGGGTTGTTAGTTAAAGAGCCTGAAAACCGTTTGGGTACAGAGAAAGGCGCTGCAGAGATTAAACAACATCCCTTCTTCGAGGGCCTTAACTGGGCCTTAATACGATGTGCCATCCCACCAGAACTTCCAGACCTTTGTGAATTTGTGTTGGGAGTTTCAGACATGATTGCAGAGTCACAAAGCAATGGTGGTAAATATTTAGAATGTGCAACAACAGGAGAACAAGTGGAATTTGAGTTGTTTTAGAGGGCATTCTTCTTGTGGATTCCCACGTTTTCCGGCTCTATGTTAAACTAGTCCACTTGCAACAATTATGGAAGCTTATGTTGTAAATTAATTTTTATTATAGCACAGTAATATGTGCTTTATAAGGTGTAGGAAGTTCAGGTTATATGCCCACTTGATAGTAGCAATCTGAAAGAAAATGAAGGCTGAAAGCTAATAGCCAAAAAATGTCATTATCCATCAATTCCTATGCTGATATAAATTTAAGATTTTTTCAAATTTAAAAAGAAAAAATAATTCCAAAAGAAGAAATTTAAGAATTTAAGAATTTAAAAAAGTGATTTATTTTTTGCATATTAAAATTGATTTTTATGAAAAAGGTTTCAGACTCATTTTTAATAAATTAGAAGAATGATTTTGACGTGTAATAACTTAAATACTAGTAAGTCTTAATATAATCAATTTTTAGTCACCACACCATTTTAGTCAACACGAGCAATGGCAATGTAATTCATAAACGGTTCAAAAGTTCTTAACCATCAGTGTCACATTAGTATTTCCTCGGAAAATTTAATAATCAACTTGTTCTTGTTTTTAAAACTACTACCATTTGAATTAAATGAAAGGCTTAGTAGAAATAATAGCATTAAATAAATTAAAATAATTGCTTTTGTTTATAATAATGATCTAAATTTAAGAATTTTTTCTTATAATTGTGAATGAAAGGAGTATTTAGTTTGTAGTCTGCAAAATTCTTCCATAATTAAAATAAGAATTAAAAATATATATAAATCTCATGCAGTAGGAAAATACATTTTACCATATAAAGTTGACCAAAAATTCCAACAAATTCCGATAAAATCTATTTTAAAAAACAATCAAACAATTTTACTCACTCTCGTAATTGAGAGATTAAAGATTTAGTTAATATTTTAAAAATTGTATTATTTATCAAATTGGTGAGGATAGTGGATCACTTATTTATAGTCAAATCACTTGCTTATTGGTCAACACGCATGGCGAAATTGAATTAAATTAGATGATTCGGTTGAATAAACCGATCTATATAATAATATATATTTATTAAATCGATCGAATCAAATGACTAAGACTCTAAAAATATCATAACACTTATGAAATTTTAAATTTTCAAAATATCATAATTTCACATGTTATTCTTTAAATTCAAATTTTAAATATAATCATCATTCATAACAAAATAATACAAAATACAACTTTAAAAATATTATAATCATCAGTAAAGTTATTTGAAAGTTGTTTCAAATAAATTTTGAATAAAGTTTAATTTTATATATTTAAAAAAATTATGAAAACAATATTGTTGTCTAAGAAAAAAAAGTATATATTTGATCCGTCAGTTTTTTAAAACTATCGATTCATTAATTTTTATCGATTTTGACTGATTTTGATTGGATCCTACCGATTCAATAATATATTCGATCTAATAATCAAACTAAACTAATAATCTCTCTGATTACCAGTTTGATCAGTCCGATCGGCCAGTTCAATCTAATTTTTAAAACACTAAATTTAATGACTACACATCACATTGATATTATCAAAAATTATTTTTATATTAATGCTTGTTTGAATATTAATACAATTAGTTCAACGATAGAATAAGCTACAAAGTAGGAATTAGTTACAACCTACTAAGCTAATATTAGTATAACAATATAGTTTATATGTATTGTCTAATATTCCTCTCAAGATGGAGGACATATGAATGGCATGCCAAACTCGTTGACAAAATGAAAATGGCCCGAGTCAAGTGGATTATCAAATATATCGGTCAACTGTTGTGTATAAGAAATTAACAACAAATGTAATAAGTTTTGGCGTAGTTTCTCACGAACAAGATGGAAGTTGAGGTCTGTGTGTTAGGTGCGCCCGTAGAATGAAGAACTTGAAGCAATATGCCGAGCCGGTTGATTGACATAGTAATCTATTGTGGGTGATTTTTTGAGTTGAAAGTCACGGAGGAGATAACATAGCCACTGTATTTCGCATACATTGGTGGCTATAGCACAACACATAGCCTCCGAGGAACTCTTTGGAGAGATATGCTTTTTTTTGGACTTTCATGAGATTAAAGAGTCTTCTAAAAAAATACAAAATCCATTGACTGAACACCTATAATTGGGACAATATGCCTAGTCAAAGTTGTCGAATGCCTTCAGATGTACTATGGAGCTGACAGACATGAATAAGTCATGTTATGGTATAGATTTAAGGTACTTGAGGGACATGTATATATGATTATGACAATGTAAATTTGTTGGAGAATTCATGTATTGGTTGAGCTGCTGTACATAATAGAAGATGTTGAGCTTAGATTTGGTAAAGTATAGTGTGAAAACGGTTTAGAAGTGGGTGGTTGAATAGACCCACTCCTTTTAAAACACTTTAAAAAACTTCTAATCACAAAATTAAAGTTTGATGGGCGGAAGCGAAAATAACAAATGATGGAGGCATATAATCTCATCAATGAGTTCTAACTAATGTATTTCAATAATATCACTAAAAGTATGATCAAACAAGGACTCAAGTCAATTAGGATAATTCAAGTTGCTTTATTCAAACAATTTAATATCTCAACATAAACATGTCTTTGATCATAATAGATTTAAGCACGATTCAATATGTTTGATGCAACACAGACCTATGCTTATATAATAAATCACTACAAGCATGATCTAACCTAGATGGCATATAAAATATACTATGAATAACTTTTATATGATGAATGACGAAAAGTAAAGAAAGTTAGGGAAGAAAGAGAGTACACATAGATATATAATGGTTTGGCATCCGTCCTCGCCATGCCTACTCCACTCTTTAATGGTTTGAAACCATTGGGAATAATCAAGTTTTCCACTATTTTAAAGAGTTAATATACAAGTACTTTGATTCTACGAACTATCAATCCAAACGCTAATAGGCATACTGCATTAGTATACACATTGATCCAATGAAAATTTCTTCTGTTGATGTCGATACTCAATGCTACACACAAGATCCTTAATGATCTTGATCCATTAATCTTTCTATCAACAATAACCTACTCCAAGCTTTCTTTCTGCAACATTCTTTCCTCGAATATGATGAAGGCTTGTCTGAGTGATTTCCATTAGCCTCGAATGATTGGATAACTCCAAACTTTACTCTACGACAACAACCTTCACATGGTTTCACCAAAGTCTTCAATGAAGTATATAAACACTCTTCTCTCTTTGTGAACAACACACAACCAAAATCCATATCCATGAAAGGATTTTTCCACCTGATACTAAAAAACACAACTTCAAATAAAAATATTAATTAGATTCCCTAATGTACCTTTTATCTACCTCTCATACTCAATCTTTAGAGTTGAAGGTCCATAACAATTGTTCTTGACAAAAATTAAAAATGATGATAGTGAATCGACTAGAGAAAATAAATATCTAAAAAAAATGAAGTCTCTATCGAATATTTATTTATCACACATACGAGAAAGGAAAAAATCAAAGAAAACCTGAGAAGGAAAAAATCATGGTCTCACGACCAATAGATCGGATACGAGAGTCGATTACGCAAGGAAAATACATTAACACCCCACATCCGTGGTACTACATAGGATCCACTCTCGTTGACTAATCTAAAGGGTGTGTTTGAATTTAAAGCTAGGTTGCAAAGGGAATGCATGGATACAAAGGATTGTGTACAAAAAGAAAAGGTTTTATTAGTTATGCCCGCCGCGGTTGCGAGCCCTTCTGCCTACGTACCACCTTTCATGCAATAGGGGATCAGAGCACTCGTAGTTCACCTCAAAAATGTTAAGTTGTTGTGTATTTTATATGGATAATTCTATATTAGCATCCTTGTGGTTAGGATTTCAATTCGTGCTTGGTGTTGCAGCTCGTAAAGAGACTCATGCCCGACCACTCACACACTTAGCATTCCCAGGTTGCTCGAAATTGAAAAAACACACCCTTATCGAAAAGGTTTTAAAATAAAAAAGTCCAAAGACAAAAATGGTTTGCATTTGTTGAATGTTTTTATTGAGAGAATACATAAGACGGTCCCTCAAAAGGCGTGGGTATCTGAGTACTTCCCTCTTAATTATGAAAAGGTTTAGGTAACGTTAGAGTATTTTATGAATTTGATTAAGAAAATGAGTTTTAGTTTTAGAAGGGATGTAAAAGAAAAGACTGACAAAAGGGGAATCTCGATCCTACTTGTTGTCATGCTTGTGGAACTAAAGTTGGGATCAAGGAAATTCTACATAATATTGGCATGCATGGATATCAATCTTAAGGTTTACTTAGTTCAATCTTGACCAAGAATTAACTAAAGATCCTATGGGGAACATGTGATCACACAAGAGGATAAAGAAAGAGAAGAATGCAAGCAATCAAGAACTTAAACAATATATGAAAGTAAGCACACAACATATGAGAAGTAACCATTTACTCATAAATTAGGCTCTTAACCAAGATGCCTAAAGCATACTTACTTGACCAAGTAATTATCGACAAACCCACATGCTATAGTGACCACCTAAGCATGAAGCATGAGCTAGCAAACAAGGACCCAAAGCGGATTTCAGCGTGGGAGTCGAAAGACTCTTGGAGTCGGAAGACTCTCCTTCCACTAGCATAGCTCAAGCACAAATTGGGTAACAAATCAAAGCATCAACATTTAAGAAACGTGTGCTAAGTATCATCGAAACAAAGACAAATTGTAGGGGACGACTGCGAGCCCTCCTTCCACTTTATTGACTCAATAACAAGAGAAGAGCACGATTCAAAGCATCAACGTATGACGTGATCTAAGAATGATCAAGGGACTTGAAATGTAGGGGCCGATTGCGAGCCTTTCTTCCACTTTTATTGAATCGATTATAAGCACAAAGTAAACAAGCACACAAGATAAAAATCATAAAAACATTGCCTACAAAGTAGGACTTGGCTTCCATACTTGCATCTTTATTCCTACTTATGGAAATGAAATCGAAA